CACTAGGCACAGACAGAGGACCAGACGGGCGGAGGCTATCCCTAGGCACGGGCAGAAGACCAGACGGGTAGAGGCTATCCCTAGTCACGGGCAGAAGACTCCGTGAGGGGCAGAGGCTATCCCCAGGCACGAGCAGAAGACCAGACGGGTAGAGGCTATCCCTAGTCACGGGCAGAAGACCAGAGGGGTAGAGGCTATCCCTAGTCACGGGCAGAAGACCCCGTGAGGGGCAGAGGCTATCCCCAGGCACGAGCAGAAGACCAGACGGGTAGAGGCTATCCCTAGTCACGGGCAGAAGACCAGAGGGGTAGAGGCTATCCCTAATCACGGGCAGAAGACCCCGTGAGGGGAGAGGCTATCCCCAGGCACGAGCAGAAGACCAGACGGGTAGAGGCTATCCCTAGTCACTGGCAGAAGACCAGGTGGGTGGAGGCCATCCCTAGGCACGGGCAGAAGACCCCCCAGGCACGGGCAGAAGACCAGACGGAGAAGGGGACCACTGAGGAGGCTAGGGCATGACCGCGACCGGCAAGACTCCCGGTCCCTCCGGGGTCTGCCTCCTCGTACTGCTCCTGGTCCGATGCTGCGCTGATTCAGAGTCGCCGCGGTTATGCCCTGTTAGCTCCGTGGGCTCTCCTCGACGACGTCTATTGACATCCCATTGGGCCGGCGCCCGGCGACTGAATCGACGCAGAAATCGTGAAGAGGCCGCTCGAGGCCGTGTAACGTGATTTCGATAAGTTTCTGTCGAGTCTGCTGAGCTGCCCAGTTTGTGTGCGGGATGGATGGGGGGGGGGGGGGGGGGGGCGGCTCCGCCGGGGGGCGGGCCTGATTCTGACCGGTTTGGCGCAGCGTTCTGGCGTGGTTTTCAGAGCTCAGTGGCGGATGACACATCAAACGCCGCGCCGAATTTCAGACATTTCCAGCGGGTGCCAGTGGTCCGGAACGTCCTGGTGTGCCAGCACTGCGGAGCGGAATGCTCCTCCGCGCCCGCTGCCCCGATTAAGACCCGCCAAGCATGCTGTCGGTTCATCGGACCCTTTCGCCAGCACGCCGAACATATGAACATGTGAACATGTGACCGAGGGAAGAGGTGAATGAACATCACAAGTGGGACGGTCAGGCTCGTCCTTCGAAGTCCATTCTCTGTGCATAGACGTACGGCTTCATAATGTTTCGCGGAAATGGAAGGGTCATGACCCCGCGTTCCGCCCCCAGGTCCTACGTTTATATTATATGATGTTCTACCAGGGGGCGATAAAGCTGTTGGGTTCCCGCAAACCTTTGTCCGTTGTTCACCGATGGATATCGCGTCAATTTTCCAGTTGTGCGTCGCGGGCTCAAATGCCTTGCAGTTCAACTGCATTACCTTGATTAGTTTCCCAGGCCCCCTTAACTTGAAGCGGTCCCCATTACAGCCAGCGGGAGGTGATCACGATGGATTTGCCGACAGTGAGACCCCCCTAAGTGGTGCTGGGTGGCGGACGGAGCGCCGCTGTGCCGGGAAGGTGCGCCATTTTCCGGTCACGCTCCCTCCTTCAGCGAGATGGCTTTCCCACCTCGGCTCTCAAAACATTTCAACTTGGCGAAAACTCGGAGCTCCGCAATATTTATGGAAATGCTACACCTGCACTTTTGTTGGACTGCAATATTAAATGTTGCCCCTGCGGCCATGACTCCGTGGGGAAATTCACTGAGTAAAACAGAAGTCAGAAACTGAGCTGGCGTCGTGACGCACTGCCCCACTAACACAAACATAAGCATCGCATCAGAGCAGCAGCGAACGGACGGCCAGAGCTGGGCATCCATTGCTGTGATGCGCTGGCCACCAGATATTACAAAATACAGCAACACTGTACTGTGCGTGATGCAAATGTTCAAGCGTGCGCTGAAATTCAAAGTACGTTTTTCCGTATAAGTTGTACGGTTTTTCAAACAAGCTTGTCACGAGGCATAACCTGTGCAACCACTGATTCAAATGCTGCCAGGCATGTTGCGTTTGATCTATTTTTGAGCACAGTTTGCGCTGGATTCTTCTATGGACTGGGGTTTTTCGATTTCATTCTTTGTTCATTTCGGTGCAGATGTCTTGATGCTTAAGAGTTTCATCTGGAGAATGTATCGTCTATTTTGCTGACAATTTTTAAACCAGAATAGACACATTACCAACTTTAACTAATGCATGCATATATATATATATATATATATATATATATATATATATATATATATGATAAGAATGATACAGGCCGTTTCACTCTTGCGCAAATGTTACCCAGATGTCAGCGAGTTCAGCTATCAAACTTTTGCAATGCATCACACGAAATCGCTTGCATCCTTGCACTGATTCATGGAATGCTCGCCGATGCTCCACAAGGATACTGCCTCGAACATGGAAACTTCTGACAGTTTGATCTTTTGACATGGCGCTAAACTTCCGGAAAGTTAACCTGCAATATCTTTGTAAGTAAAATCGTTTGGCGTCTTGACTTTGAGAGCT